GTGCACGTGTTTCACTTTTCCTGACCTAAATAAATTCATCTCTGGATTCTATTCTCCATGCACTTTTTGAAGCCTCCTTGGGTGAACCTCTGCCAGGACCAGGTGCTGGGGCCTGGGATTTGGAGAGGAGGTGGTGCACTGTTGGGTTGTTACCGGGGGTTCTGTCTCTGCTCTGCCCCTAACTAGCTGCCTCCTCTCAGTCTGGTATCTTTCATTTCCTCTTGCCTAAGTTTTCTCATCAGAAAAAAAAATTCGTAGGTCTGGGGTCAGTCTGTACAGGGAAGTTTATCCATACAGAGTCCTGAGTCCAGTGCCTGGCCTTCCCTAAGTATTACCTAGCATTTATTGTTATTCTGTGATTAGGAAAGATCTCTGGCAGCTGACCTGAGACCCAGGAGCTGGACCGTGGAGAACAATGCAGATTTCATTTTGCCTTTAGATCCCAGGCAGCTGTAGCACTCCCTGTTAAAGGAATGCTGAGGGGGGCGGCGCTGTGGCACAGCAAGTTAACGCCCTGGCCTGAAGTGCCAGCATCCCATGTGGGTGCCGGTTCTAGTCCCGGCTGCTCCTCTTCCCATCCAGCTCTCTGCTGTGGCCTTGGAAAGCAGTAGGAGATGGCCCGAGTCCTTGGGCCCCTGCACCCACGTGGGAGACCTGAAAGAAGCTCCTGGCTCCTGGCTTCAACTCAGCGCAGCCCTGGCCGTTGCGGCCATCTGGGGAGTGAACCAGTGGGTGAAAGACCTCTCTCTGTCTCTACCTCTCTGTGGAAATCTGTCTTTCAAATAAATAAAAAAATAAAAAAGGAATGCTGGGCTCTGGGGAGAGTGTTTCCGACAACCCCCCCCCCCCCCCCGCCTTGCCTCAACACGTGGCTGGTTTCTAGGTTAAGGGACCGTGTGTAAATTCTACCTCTGAGATTCTGTTCGTCTCAGTTCCTCTGGGATGGATAGGCTGCAGAGGTGGGGATGTGCATTGATAGCGATCATTTTTGGAGCGTCCCCAGCCCATTTTTGTGCATTGAACCAGAATTGCCTCTGGGGCCTTCCCCTTAGGACTCAACCCCAGCAGAAAATCTACTCTGCCAATGCGGCTGACCTCCATCTGAATGTTGGGGGGGCGTCCTCTCTCACTGCAGGTCCACAGGAGGTGAGCCGTGTGCCCATGCGCCCAGCAACCAGAGCGGAGCCATCCCCTGAGAGAGAAGGGGGCACCCGCCTGGATGATCCTTCCAAGCGTGAGCTTGGATGAATCTCTCTTTGCTTGGTAAAAGCCAGAAAGAGAGTGTGTGGGAAACGAGTGTCATGTGTACTCTCTCACTGACACCACTGGATACTTCCGGTCACTGATGTGTGGGTTTTTCTCCTTTCCTAGCAATGCTCTGTTCTCTGAAGGCACTGGATCCCTACAATGAAATCTAGTTCTGCTACTGTCTACCTAGACCTCACCCAACCTGCAGGTGAAGGACTGAGTCCCAACCGTCCCCACCCAGAAGTCATCACCTGTGCTTCTGATGCTAACTCCACAAGCCCGTCCTCGGTGCAGTCTCTCGGTGCAACAGCTCACACGCTCAAGAGAGCACTCCATGTACTTTGATTCACTAATAACAAAAGGATACAAGCCAGGCACAGCCAGGGGGAAGAGCTGCTTAGAAGGTGGCATGGGATAGGGTGGAGTGGAATAGAGGATGTACAGAGCTTCCGGGTCCCTGGGGTACGCCAGTCTCCCAGAAGCCCGCTGTGTCCACCAGCTTGGAAGCTCTCTGAACCCCACAGTTGAGGGATTTTTTTGTGGCGGCTGCTTCATCGGTAGAGGTGATCGGTTATTCATTTTAGCTGTAGCTCCTGGACTCCTGGATTCAGCCTGGTCCAGCCCCAGCTGTGGCAGGCATCTGGGAAGTAAATTAGTGGATGGAAGCACCCTCTTGCTCTCTCTCTCTCTCTCTCTCTTTCCCCACCATCATTCTGTCATATAAATAATTTTTTTGAAAAAATTCGCGTGAACTCAGCTCTTAAACAAAGAAAATACTTGCTAATTTGAAAGGCAAAACGCTATTCATTGTTGCTCATTAGCAGTCTCCTGACTACTAGATCCTTCTATCTGGTTGAATCTAAGAGAAATAGATTTCCTCTTGGCAGCTCTTCCCTGGCGTTCCGTGTCTTCTCAGTCCCTGGGGAAGTTTTATCTACACTTGGTCTGTCCCTGGGTTATCTGTTGTGAATCACTGACATCTTGTTAAGGACATCTGCTTTGCAATAAGGCTGTTTTTAAGATGTATTTATTCATTTGAAAGGCAGAGTCACATAGAGAAAGGCAGAGATGGAGTGAGAAAGAGATCTTTTATCCACTGGTTCACTTCCCAAATGCCTGGAACAGCTGAGACTGAGCAAGGCCAAAGCCAGGTGCCAGGAACTCCATCAGATTCTTCCACGTGGGTGATAAGGATTCCAGTACTGATATACTGTCTCCTGGGTGCATTAGCTGGAAGCTGGATTGAGGAGAGACTCAATCCCAGGCACTCTGCTATGGGATGTAGGCATCCCAAGGAGCGGCTTAATCCACTCTATCACAAGGTCCATCCCAAAGACATTATTGGAAGACAGATGCACTCTGAGAGTGAATTGATTTATGTGCCTGCTCTTTGTAAAACTCTTGGATGCCTGGTCTGTCCCACTGGCTGGGACAGAAAAAAGGATGGAGTTCAATCTAGGGCCCCCCACATGGGTGGAGGGAGCCAAGACCTTGAGTCATCACCTGCTGTCTCCCAGGGTGCACAGGAACAGGAAGCTGGATCAGAAGTGGAGATGCTGTGATTCAAAGCAGGTGCTCTGATGTGGAATGTGGACATTTAACTGTTGCACCAAATGCCCACCCAAATTACAAGCTCTTCAGAAGTGAAATCAGTAAGACTTGATGACTTAATTTAAGGGGGGGGGGTGACAAGAATGAAGCTGCCAAGTTGGGCACCAGGGAACAGCTTTGGGGTATGATCGTGGATGCTAGGACAGGCTGATTGGAGGCCTAGATAGAAACACAGCCATGTGCCCTTGACGATGGGGATACACTCTGAGAAATGTGTTGCTATGCAATTTAATCGTTGTGTGAACATCACAGTGTACTTACACCACAAACTTACATAGGTCACCATACATCTAGGCTGTATACGAGGAGACTTCCAGAAGTTCATGGGAAATGGGACTAAAAATAAGTACGTTTTTGTGCAATTTCTTAAAAGATCTATTTATTTGAAAGTCAGGGTTACAGAGAGAGAGAGATCTTCCATTCACTGGTTCACTTTCCAAATGGCTGCAATGGCCAGAGCTGGGCCAGTCTGAAGCCAGGAGCTTCTTCTGGGTCTCCCATGCAGGTGCAGGGGTCCAAGCACTTGGACCATCTTCTGCTGCTTTCCCAGGTACATCAACAGGGAGCTGGACTTGAAGTGGGGTACAAGGACTTGAACTGGTGTCCATATGGGATGCCGGCATTGTAGACAGCAGCTTTACCCACTATACCACAGCACTGGCCTCTTAGTGCAATTTTTGATATCTGTACATTTTTTTGCATGATATGCATTTTCCATGAACTTGTGGAAGACACTTGATATGTATGGTATAGCTTATTGCTCCTAGGATTATGATGAACAAAACAATATGACATTAAATCAAGCACAAGAAAAAAATGATGCTATCAAGAGATGCATTAAAGGGACCGGTGTTAGGGCACAAAAGGTTAAGCTGCCACTTGTGATGCCAGACATGCTGGCTTGAGTCTCACTACTCCGCTTCTGATCCAGAATCCTGCTAATGCACCTGGGAAGGCAGTTGAAGATGGCCCAAGTGCTTGTGATCCTGCCAATCATATGGGAGATCAGGGTGGAGTTCCTGGCTCTTGTCTTTGGCCTAGCCCAGATGAAACTGTATGTCCATTTAAGGAATGAACCAGAGGATGGAAGCACTCTCTCTCGCTCTCTCAATCTCTCTCAATCTCTCTCCAACCCCCATTCTCCCTCCTGTTTGTAGCTCTGTGTTTCAAGTAAATTAGGCTTTTATTAAAAAGAGTTGCATTCAATAAGAGATATCCATATGAGGATATTTACGGCAGCATAACGCAGTATGCAATGTATGTTTTTAATTAAGTAGAAGGTTTATAATCCAAAATAATGATAAATACATAGACCAGTAGTATAGTCATTTATTATTAAGTATTATGTCCTCTACACTATTACATGTGCACACATATATCCTGTGTTTTGTATGACTGGCAGCACAGTGGTGTTGTTAACCCCAGCATCACCAAAAACACATGAGAGACGCATTTCTTAAGATGGCAGCAGCGTCACTGGGTGATGAGAATCTTTCAGCTCTGTTACAATCACGGAACCATCTTTGGTGTGTCGTCCATGGTTGACTGAAAGGTTAATGTAGGGCCGGCGCTGTGGCTCAATAGCTAATCCTCTGCCTGCGGTGCCGGCACCCCAGGTTCTAGTCCTGGTTGGGGCGCCGGTTCTGTCCTGGTTGCTCCTCTTCCAATCCAGCTCTCTGCTGTGGCCCGGGAAGGCAGTGGAGGATGGCCCAGGTCCTTGGGCCCTGCATCCGCATGGGAGACCAGGAAGAAGCACCTGGCTCCTGGCTTCGGATTGGTGCAGCGCCAACTGTAGTGGCCATTTGTGGGGTGAACCATCGGAAGGAAGACCTCTCTCTCTCTCTCTCTCTCTCTCTCACTGTAACTCTGCTTGTCAAAAAAAAAAAAAAAAGGTTAATGTAGTACATGACTGTACTGACATGGTTAGGAATATGTGTATGTGGCATCACGTGTACTAAGCATTGCCTCTTTCCTTTGTACTCTGGGAGCTTTACGAATGTTGAACAATTTCCGGTGCTACCAGCTCTTCTTCATTTATTGAAACTGTGCCTAGGAGAAAAGGGTAGAGGTGTTCACTGTATTGGGTACAGTATGTCAAGTGCAGCCGCTCTTCTGCTCATAGTTCTGTCTTCTCCTTCCAGGAGATGGCCAGGTGGATTTTGACGAGTTCATGACAATTCTTGGCCCCAAACTGGTGTCGTCAGAAGGTCGAGACGGTTTTCTTGGAAACACAATAGACAGTATATTCTGGCAGGTGAGTAAGAATTTTTTTTAGTAAAGATTACATTTGGCAGTAGACATAAGTCCAGTATTAACTTTTGACTGAATTCCTGAGCTCTGTTCTGCACATGAAGATCTCTTTGGGGCTGGAATGACTCCCATTCCTTGAGTTGGATGTCAAGGTCAGGGTCCCTGTGGGATCCTTTGACCAAAGATCAAAATGATACTTATTTAAGGTTTGGAGGAGCGAAATATCTCTCCAGTTTCTCCACTTCTGATTCACAAAAATCTTTTTCCTGGTAACAGTTAACAGTGTTTATTATCTGAACCAGCTCTGTGTTTGACCCTGATTCCAGTTGATCTTTGCTGATAGTATGGCATGGTTGTCTGATGTGTTTGGATCCCATCAATTCTGTTCTCCTTAATAGGACACAATGGTTTTGTTTAAGAATTTATATCCAATGCTTCTCAATATGCGTCTATTTCTTTCTTGTGAAATCCTTTAGTAAATTCCAAATATCTACCTTCTAATTCCTAAAGAGCTATTAAATCATTTTCTATATTATGTCTAATCTTTCAAAATGCGAGTCTTTTTTCATGATTATGGAATTTGGGGATTGCATTCTCAATCAACAATTTCACAAATCTCAGGTGAAGTTTTCAAGTTAAATTGAGTAACTGGTTGGACACATGAAACCCATTCTAACACACTGTAGTTTCTTTAAATCTCGTGAAGTGTATTTTTCCTTCTCCAAAGATATTTCTCTTATCTAGATGAGGGATGCAGTTGACAAATCTAGTCTTGTTCTGGTACTCACCTTGCAAATAGTCAGTAACTCTTTATTGAGAACTTGTTGTATGCCCTGTAATCTCAGTCATTGTGAGTTTTCCAAAAAGGCATTTAAAACTCAGTCGTGCTGTTGAAGAAGTTGAATAAGCAAATGTAAGTAAGAGTAATCAAAGAAGACATTAGTAAGTATGATGGTGGTAAGATTTTAATCTCCATGAAGCCCAGATCTCATGGTTATAATAGCCCCTTCAGCTTGCTGTCCACTGCATTTGCAGACCCTCAATGCCTTCCTTTTTTCAACGGAATCAACAGAAGTTTGATAAAGGAGAAAAGTGTGGTTGGTGGTGTCAGATAAAGCTTCAAGAAAGGGAAGCATTTGCCTTGAACCTTGAAATATGGGTGAGATTTTTTTTTTAGTTTTTTTACTTTTTAAAATTTTATTTACGGTACACAAATTTCGTGTATTTCATGTATACAGATTTAGGAATATAGTGATACTTCCCACCCTGCCCTCCTGCCTGCCCATTATCCCACACTTCTTCCTCTTCCCTCTCCTATTCCCAATCTTATTTTTTTACAAACATCCATTTTCAGTTTACTTTATGCTCATAAAATTAGCCCTACACTAAGTAAAGAGTTTAACAAACGATATGAAGAAAAAAACACTGGTCCTCAACAGTAGAGACAAGGGCTGTAAACAATCATCAAATCTTAAAAATGTCAATTTCATTCTAATACATTGCATTTTAGTACTCTGTTAGTTACCACTGATCAGGGAGAACATATTGCTTTTTGGCTTATTTCGTTAAGCATTATGGTTTCCAGTTGCACCCATTTTGTTGCAAAAGACAGGATTTCATTTTTTCACAGCTGAGTCGTATTCCATAGTGTATATATCCACAGTGTCATTATCCAGTCATCAGTGGATGGACATCTGGGTTGATTCCAGATCTTAGCTCTTGTGAATTCAGCTGCAATGATGCGATTAAATGCAAGGGAAGAAAAGGGCACCCTGGGTCTGCTAGGATGAGTGTTTACCGAGGCAGTAGTCACAGGCAAGTCCTTTTTCCAAAACCGGGATCCAGTTTAAAGGGACTCAGGTGCAGAACGGACTTAGGGCCTGAGGAAAGAAAAGAAGCAAATCAATCCCAGATTCCCAACTTGCAATTAAAGACAGCAACGAGAGCACAGGGTGACAGTGAAGTCTTCCTGGGCTGAATTCTAACTCAGACAGGCTGAGTGGAAGGTGAGGGCCAGACAACAGAGGGAAGGAAGAAAGTCTATGCACAGGGCTGGAAAGCCAGACAGGGACCAGGGCTTCAAACCCAGATCTGGGACCCATCAGAGCTGAAGGGTGACGTCAGGAGCAGAGAGAAGCTCACCAAGGTGAACTGTGTGCATGAGGATGAACAAAGAGACAAGACGCGGTCCTGCAACACAGGGGCCTCTAGCTCTGCACGGCCAACGCCCACCTGAGGCTGCCATCTCCTTGGACCCATGTTATGGTCAGGAAGCTCTCTGAGGCTCTCCTCACCAGGAGATGAAAATATTTCTCTGCTCCTGCAACCGTTTGGTTAGACTTCAGCACTTGGGAGAGCAAAGTCCCTGAGCAGAAATAGGATACAGAGTTACAATGGTGGAGAAGTGTCCCATCCCATGGGGCCGTCGTTCAGCCTGGGTAGAACCATGCACAGTTGCCTTCCTCTCTGGCTTCCCCTCTTCCTCTCTGGCTCTCTCTGTTGCCCTCCATGGTTCCTGCCCTTTGTCCTCAGGGTGCTCTCTATCCTAGAAGAATGTTCCAGGGCCTCCCTCACTGTAAGCGTTCTTCCTCGCCCCATCCTGCAGAGGTAGAAGCTGCAAATTCTTGATCCACATCTCCTGTAGAGGCCTCTTATCTGCTCATTCCTCACCACAGAGCACCTGCAAAGAAGGAAATCTTTGCTGTACCGACTGTCTTAGTCAAATCCAGATGTGATGTTGCGATCATCTGTGTTTTTGTCTAACTAGAGACTCCCCCTGCTTCTCAGCCAGGGTGATAAGGTACAGTGGGGAGAGAAAAAAGGGGAAAACTCAGCCTGAGACATTTAAATGAGAGTGCTGGGATGCGCAGACTCGTGGACGTGGCTTTCCTCTCTTACTCTGAACGTTGACCAGCAAACGAGAGTAGAAGTGCGTGTGCAGGTCCATGTATGTGCGCGCACACATATCCAAGTTTGTTCACTTTTCCACAGTGGTTGGAGACAGTGTGGGAAAAAAATGTAGCAGAAAGGCAAACTTCTGCCTCGGAATATTAATACCAGGAGATTCTGATTCTAGAAAATTCTAAGGCAGCCAGGAAGGCAGCTGAAGGTTCTGATTCTAGAAAAGTGGAAAGGAATTCTAGATGCTCCGGCAAGGCTTCTCATCAGAGACCATGTGTGTTTCCCACAGAAACAGACATAACGGTACAACTGGAAGGATATATGGGTGTCCATGTGGTGGACAAATCGCACCGAAGTATCAGGACGGAAAGCAATCGGTATTTACTGTGTTGCGCCATTTCGAAGGGGTCAGGGGTTTGAAAGCAGCTTCGCTGGGTGGTGACCCAGAGGGCCATCAGGACACTGGCTGGGGTTGTAGTCACCGGAAGGCTGGAACCGGCTAGGATGTGGCTCACTCCCAAGGCTAACTCTGGTCCCCATCGCCTGGATCTCTCCATGGTGCTGCCCGAGTGGCCTCATGTCAGGGCAGCCAGCTTCCCCTAGAAGCAAATGATCCAAGAGAGCTCAGGCAGAGGCTTCAATGTCTTCAAGACTTAGCTCTAGAAGCCGGACTCCACCACTTCTGGAGTCCTCGTGGTTATGCAAGGAGCCCCTACTCAGTGTGTGATGAGCAGGAGGCCGGGTCACTGTGGGGGCCAGCTTGGTGAGTGGGTGACCATGACCGGTAAAGAGCCTGTGGTTGAACTTCAACTTCAGACCTGACATTGCTGTTCCAAGCCTTCCCCACCCCCATTCCATCACGCTTTGGTTTCTTCCTACCTTAGAGGAAGTCAGTGACTGTGGCTATTGTCTGTGTTAATGGGAAATAGCCCAGCCCGTAGGTTCATCTTCCTAATTAAATCTGTTTTTCAGTGCTTGCTTTTTTACTGGTGTTCTAGCCTCCCCTGCCAAGAGTAAAATGAAATCAAATGGAATTCTGCATGAACATAAAACAAAGCCAACAAACAGCTACATATTGGGTGGTGCTACCAGTCCCACAAATTCTGAGCCCCTGGCTTTTTGCAGGAAATTGCTGTCTGTGCCGATGGAATATAATGGGCTACAGCTGCAGCTTCCTTCCCACGAACGATGGCTTGGCTTCATCTCTGGCTCTCCCAGGGGGCTCAGCCACCTCGGTGTGAGGGGTCACAGAGATTCTTGTATGTAGCAAATGGTAACTTGCAAAACTTTCATTTCATTCTCAGTCTTCATTCATCCAGCTTCTATGTGTTCACTGTCACTGCAGGGCTACACCTGGGGAGGATGAGGTGAAAGTGTTTAAAGTCAGCCCTTGGCCTTGGTGCATGGTAATGACGGAGATCAGGGATGGGAAGAGCTGAAGGGGGCTGGGGTCTGGATTGGGGGCCAAGCTGGAGTGTGACCCTCAGAGGCACTGTGGTTGTACCATGCACTCTCACCGCACAACCTGAGTCCACTTGTATCCCTGAACAACAGTCTCATGCTATGGCACCTGTCCCCCAGCGGCAGGGCAGAGAGACTTGTTACTGTATCACAGTGTTTACTGGAGCTCAGCAGCGTCTCCTCTTGACCTCAAGAACTGCCTGTCTGCAGTGAGTTTGCAAACAGCAAACCGTGGCAAGGGTAATGGCAAGAGATTATTCAGCTCTCCCGATCCCCGGGGCCAGCCGGCACTTCTGTTAACCTCTTCTCCATCCAAGACGGAATTGAGTCCCACGCTGGGCTAGCAAAGCTGTTTATGAGTCTTTCTGTCAATACCGTGAGGTCCAAGACAGCACCTTGGCCAGGCCAGGAAGACACTGAAAAACATCCGATGGGTGTACTACTGTAGGGCTCTGTTCCTTGGCTCACGTTTTTCTCTGATCTGCAATCAAACCTCATTCTCAAGCCTTCACCAGTTTAGAGTTTCTGCTTTAAGAAATGAAGCACAGTCTTAGTTTGTAAGTAAACGGATTTGATGAGGGCAAGAGGGCAGGGTGTGTGGGAATGAGTCTGCCGCCAGAGGTCAGGAAACAAGGACCTCGC